TTTATGTAGAGCTTGCCCTAGAAGGCTCGGCCTCAGTAGTTTATATAGCTGGAGATAGCTAGCTGTGAGGGGGATTCTGTTCATCGTTCAAAATCAGATCTAAGTAAAATCAGTAGCTAGAAGAGCTTTCGCTCTTCCGTGGATTAGTCCTGGTTATCCAGGGATACCACGTAAATCCGGTGTTCAGTTTCTGTTTTTGTTTTATTGAATCTTCTGATCAGTTTGCTATCAAGTTGTGGCTCAGTTTTTGCAGTGATCGTCAATACTAAAGTCTACTATTTTCACAGTTAATGAGTCAGCAAAATAGCTTACATGGCAGTCATGTCATTAAATAATAATTTTAGAATTTATTTTTTCAATTAAAATAAAAATTAAACATAAAATAGAAATTTGACACAAAAACATATGCCAAAAAATTCCCCAATCTCACACTGCCTTCTTCGAAACCCTTCCCCCTTCCATTAAAAAAAAACCCTTCGTAGGGGTATTCAAATGGGTATCATGGTAATTACTAAATCAAATAAGTCTAAATTTTGTTAATCATAGAATACAATATCATAACCAAACCATCCAAATTAATACAACAACCACATTAACCAAACTAAAATTTAATCGCTTTGGTCAATTGGTTAACTAGATTAACCAATATAACACCACATTACCATTAAGTGACAAAATTTTTCTAGTTAATAAAACATAACAATCAACACACATAATTATAGTTAATCCTTAACATAATTCATGCAACTAATACAATTATATTACCGTCAATAAAAGTATGCACCTAATAAAAATATATTCAATGGTATGGGTGATTTATTTTGTTTGTATGAATTGACTTAGTCTCTTAGCAATTATCATAGGGTGAAAATGAACTTCCTATCAAGTTTTCATCCAACATAATGTAGACGTTTTATCTAAATTAAATGACCATATGTTGTGGTCTACACTCTTCAAATACAAATACAATATAGGAACAATACAGAGCTTTATTTATTATGAGCCTAAATGAGAAGAATGTTTGACTCTTAAGTAGTTATGCAAAGTATTAAGTATGTGTATAATATATATTAGATATATAACTAATTACTTAACTGGTTAATTTGGTTCATTGATTAGGAGTGTCCGAAACCAAACCAAACCACATAAACCAACAAACTAAAGTTTTTTACCAAAACAAACCAATTATACAAATTATTCAAATACTACCGATTAAAATGATTATCACGGTAACCAGTCCGGTGGAACACACCTATTCCCCGGCGTTCGTTCAACTCCCCCGCATAATTCCGCATACCATTTCCAGCGGTGAGCGGCGCTATCGAGCCGTCATCCCTTCTTTGAAAAATTGTTTGGCTCCAGATTCCAGATCCATATGTTTTGAGTTCCATCGCTTCAGATCTTCAGCCTCGCAGTCAGCTTCCCGCCGCTTCCGTTCTCAATGACCCGCCTTCCTCCCTCTTCCCCTGTTTCAAATCGGAGGCTTCCAATAACCACAACCAACACACGCCAACTATTTCTCACTCCTTCCAGCTCTCTCCCAGACCTGATTTCGGCTTCGACACTCACCCATGTCTTCTCCAGCGCCGCAAGGCAAAGTTACCCTCGTAACTTGTGCTTTAATCAACTGTTATATTAGGGGTCATGGAGATTCGAACACACGACCACTTGGTCAAACCAGCTATGATACCATGTCATAAACCAGTTGGTCCCAATAACTCGAGTTGTTGGGTGAAAGTTATGCGGGATCTTATACCACTCTCTAACACTGACTTCCACCGAATCGAGATACAACATCTTCGCCCACTGCTCCAAGTTCTCCTTCGTCTACTCCTCCGCCGCCCAATTATGGTCCCAATTTGACGGATTCTCTCCGACAAAGGAGTCCAACTCCCGATTTAAATCTCAAATCTTAAGATTTTACGAACACAGATCCTGATTTCACTATAAAATCTATGGAGCTTGAAATTCTACACTATTTACAATTTAAATATTCAAAATCTTACGAGGTTACGATTTAAATCTTTTGGTCAATTTTACTTATTTTCCCCAGAATTTACAAAATTACGCCTCTTTTTCTTCTCCCCCACCAACCTAATCTAGTACTCTCACACTAACCACCATCGACCATTATCAATTCACATCAACGTATTAATCATTATCAATTCACCTCTTCCCAATATTAATCTTGATAAATTGAAACATTAACCTTGAGAATTATCATTGTAAGTGTTATTCATGATTTTTTAATATTATTCCATCTTTGTTTTATATGGCCTTAAAATCCTACGGTTTTACGATTTCGATTTTAACCCATTTTCGATTATACGTAAAATCTCGATTTTGATTGCGATACTCCCTGATTCTCTTCAAGAGCTGTTGCTAGGCCGGGAAACATGGCTCCATGGAGACCGAGCTTTTACGAGGGATCAGCTTTGCAAGATTGAGTTGAGATTGGGTTAAGATTGAGAGGCTGCCCGAGATATTTTTAATTTGATAATTTTTAACTTTTAATTTATATTTTAATTGAAATATAAAATTAAAATAATATTATTTAATGATGTGGCACGATGCATAAGCCATCTTAGCAGTTTTTTGTTGAGTTACTAATAGAATAAGTATTTGACCGTCAATATTAACGGCCAAAGAAAATTTCAGGCCAAATTCATCAATTAATTTGAAAAGTTGGTAAAAACTGTCTTATTGAAGAATTCGGGACAAAACTGTCACTTATGCCAAATTTAGGGCCAAACTAGGATATGTACCCTAAATAAAATGAAAAATTCTTTTGAGTAGGTTAATGGATATACTTATATACACTATTTGTCCTTAATCGTATGCCGCCCGACCCGATCTTAGGCCCTGACTCACCCTTCGTGGATGAACCATGTGGAGGAACCCTGAGGTTTTTGGGCATTGAATTCTCATCAATATTTGCGTTACTCAAACCGACATTCTCAATTTTGCTTCGTCCATCGCCTCTCGCTATTCTCCTAAAGCCATCTCCAATAAGGAGTCATAATGCTAAATCCGACACAAGTACACAATAACACTATTCTACTGTTAAATTTGATTAAAAAAGAATACAAGAATAAGATACCCAACAACAATTATGCAACTCATAAACCCCAATAAATTACATGGAAGGTTGTTGCCGACTATTGTCGAGCTATTGTGCGTAACTCCATTTTTGTATTGTGCTCTTTCTAGATCCCTTACTTGAAATTATTCTCATTTAAACCAAATCCACTATTACAACTAGGGTAGATAGGGATGACAATCAAACCCATGACTGCATGTATCCGACAACCCTCGACCTAGTCAACGCGGGGAATCCTTGCTTTGACTGGGTATGGGTAAAACTCGCAAAAGGTTTGATGGATATGGGGTGGGTATGGTTTTAACCTCCCCTCCCCATACCTTTATCCGCCCCACCAAGAGCATTTCTTCACATATAAAAAGTATGCAGATCAAATTGTAACCTATCAATAATAATGAGGATAACTCGAGAAATAAATAGTAGAAATGCAATTGAGTGACCACCCTAATCAAAACCTATGTCATCTTTTCCCTTAATTCTCCCTTCACTCTTTCACTATTCTTAATGTCAACAAGATTTTGTTAGTTAATTATTACTTAGTAGATGTATTAGAGTTATAACATAATAATTTGAAAAATATTGTACTATATATTCCTTATTAATGGATGTTTTAGGATAATATTCTTTAAACCGTATTAAGAAAATGACCGTGTTTTGTTGACTTCATTGTATAGTAGGTTTGTTTAGTGTTATAATTAAAAAAATTTGTGTAAAGTTTTAGGCATAATAATGTTGGATATACGGGCCGGTTATTACCCATGGTTACCCGAAACCCACGAGTATAGGGATAAGTTTGCAAAACATTCATCCGCATGGGTATGGGGCGGGTACGGGTTTGGGTATCTGAAAATGGGGATGTGGATGGTTTAGGCAAACCCGCCCCATTGTCATCCCTAAGTATAGGCAAGGGATCTTGTAGGCTTTCAAACATACCATTATTTTCGGCCTATACTTGCGGCTCATCGAGGCCTGTTATTTTTTACTTTAACTGTGAGAATAGCCGTAACCGTTTAACTGTCGGTTACAAACCGTTGATTATGCATTACATAAATATGACTATTCATAATTGAGCGTTTATTGTTTAATCGATTATCGATGTAATCGTTAACCGTCGTTTTCCGAACTGGTTATCGATTAATTCCTCTAACATAATAACTGTTTAAATTTAACAGCCCTAAGTATAGTAAAAAATTTGTGATATTAACCACAAAAATTGTGGTGCGATCAAGGTTGTCAACCCGCGGGCTGACCTGGACCCAGTCGAACTAGTGGGTCATGGTCAACCGTTTTAGCTCGGTTTGGCCCGGAAATATGGAAAGAGTCATTATATTGTACTTATCCTGATAAATTATATCAAATCTCATCTAACATATGAGTTATAACATATAATATTATACAAAAATAACATGTCGTACTTAGATCCAACATATAGTGAAAATTCACACACACTTATATAACATCAATATTCAAATGTTCATCTTAGGATTCCAAAGATTGAGTAAGGCGAAAAGAAAAATCGAAAAATAGGCGTATTTCGCAAACCAAAGAAAAAAAAAGACACAATTTGACCTCCAACTCGGTACCTTGTAGCAGTCGACCAGGCGTGTGGGTACAACCCGTTTTTCTCACAGGGTCAAGATGGGTCGACCCGCGAATTGACAAGCTTGGTTGCTATTAATAACAACCACAGCTACATTCAATCCTAAAGATACTCGCACCCATTCCAGTTGCTTTTTTTACTAAATGAGGAAAACCCAACAAAAAGAAAAGTTACTCTGTTGGATTTTGCTCGATAAAATTGATCGACTCTACTTGGTCCGCGGCAACAAATAACAGCAAATTAAAAAGAAGAATTAAGTTTTAGTGTTTTCCGTGTATGTTGCGGAAACCCCGAATCCACCTTAGATCAAACCGCCATAAATGATACAAGAGATCGCCCTCAAATCAAACGTGAATAATCCCTCTGTTTTTCCTCAACCGCCAAGAAAACCGCCCGCCACAGAAATTCCAGCATTATGTCGCCGATCGATCAATCTGGCCGACGGAGAAGAAGACCCACCACCGGCGGCATCATCAACAAAACCTGCTACGTAATCGACATCCTGCTCTCCATGGACCCTCCACCGTTTCGACTTCTTCTCATCCTCGCCGCCATCATCCTCTGCCTTCCATTGCCCTGGCGCTCTTCCTCCTCAAACAGAGGGCCTGGACCGGCCGCCGCGACGACGACGGGGATGGGTGGTTGGTTGCTTCCGGCTACCCCCATTGCTCTGGTGTTCCTGCTCCATTTGTTCTCCACGACGACGACGTATTCGATCGCCGCCGCCACGCGGAAATCGTTGCTCCCGTGTTGGTTGTCTTCAGAAGGGATTTCGCCGTGGGCGGTGGCGGTGTTGATCCTTCAGTTGGTGCTCATGGCGCAGTACCGCCCTTCTTTTCACCACCATTGGCCCTTCAATTAGCTGGCTAGGTTAGGGATTCCCATGGCTTTCTGTTTCTGTCTTGGTTTAGGGTATAGGTAGGGTTCTTGTGCAGATTGAGGCGATTAATTGACGTGACAGTCTGGGAAACAGCTCATAGGAAATTAGGAATTGTAAGAACGTCTTAGACAAGTAGAAAAGGAGGTGTGTTTATAATTCTTTGTGCAGATTCTTTCTTTAATGTGTCGGAACTGGAACGTGAATTAAAGCTATAGGAATTGTAAAAGCAATTACATTTGTATTTTTTTAATGTCACCTCAATTTGTTTTGCAATTCAATTCACATTACTTTCATTTATCAATATCAATGAAATTAACTTGTAATTGCATATATGGATACAACTTGTTTTTAATAAAATAAAAATGTTTATATATTTATTATTTTTCCATACAGAAAATATTTTTTTTCTTTTATAAATGCCTACCATGGAATTGCAAGAAATGGTAACTTGCATTGTTGGAATTGGGACTTCCATTAATTCAATTAAAAATGCAATTCCTTAATGGGGATGCTCTAAGTAATTAAATAAGCCATAATAAATAATAGTAAGAGCATCCACATCAATATAATTGTATGTGAGATTTTTATATTCACATCAATATTTTCTCAATCCAACTCAAAATTAATGTCATTACACCTATATAAATGCAATCCACTTATAATTGTATATGTAATCAAATATTATGTTTAAGTTATATCAAAATAAAGTACCACATTAAAAAAAATATAGAATTCTCATTTTGAGGCCATCATAACGTGCATATGTAATTGCATTTGTTGGAAAAAAAATCCAAAACTACCACAGTTTTAATTTTTTTTTTTATAAAAGTACCACTCATTCCCAAGAATTTCCAAATATACCATTGTTTATTAAAAACCGCTCCACTCAGGGGCGGTTAAAACAGAAACCGCCCACCCAGGCGGCGGTTTACCATGAAACCGCCTGGTAGACAAGCGATTTGTGTTTTTTTTTTGGGAAAAACGCTCTTCGAAGGAGCGGTTTACCATGTAACTTGCATTGTTGGAATTGGGACTTCCATTTATTCAATTAAAATGCATTTGCTTGATGGGATGCTCTAAATAATTAAATAAGCCATAATAAATTGTAAAAGCATTCACATCAATACAATTGTATATGAAATTTTTATTGTCACATCAATATTTTCTCAATCCAACTCAAAATTAATGTCATTACACCTATATGAATGCAATCCACTTACAATTGTATATGTAATCAAATATTATGTTTAAATTATATAAAAAATAAAGTAAGACATTAAAAAAATATAGAATTCTCATTTTTAGGCCATTTTGACGTGTATATGTAATTGCATTTGTTGCCGCCTTGCAAATATGTCATGGGTAGTCATATCAATCAAATAAATTTTGTAATTGCAAACACATATGTCATGTTATCTTGTAATTGGAAATGAAATATCTATGTGGACTTTGCTATAACTAACACTTTTAGGTCGACCTCATATTGGATTAGGTCGACCTAGTCTACCATTTCAGTCTTGTGATAGAAGACAATTTACTTCCTAGCAACTTCGAGCCTTTTGATTGAAGCCTTCCAGATATCCAATATTTCATCCAATACCTTGACTTTGTAGACAAACATACCTACTTTCATATGGTAGAGATCCCTGGACACGAATCTCACCCATGCTTCTCGAATTGAGCTCCAAAATAGGCGTACCCTATCTCCGTGGATGCTCGAATAGCATCTTGTAGTCCACAAATTAAATAGCCATGTCTCCATCAGAGAGGTTAACGGTGGAACATTATATCTCACTACCTTTCTATATATAAGCAATAATAACTCAACTACAGTAAACCATTCTTTCCTTATACTAGCTTATAATCCGGCCCGTTGGCCGGAATATTTATATTTGGTTATTTATATTTTCATGTTTAAATCTATCAACCCGTTTAATTTTATTGACAATCCTTCGATCGAAATATATAAAGAAAGAATATATAGATCGAACATTTGGAGAAATATAAAAATGTATCATTGATCTCATTTTGAAAATGATAATTAAGTCCCCGGTAAAATGCTATTGGTTAGTTGATTATCAAAAAAGATAGAGTATAAAAGCTCACTGAAATTCCCTCACTAAATCTTAAACCTCGCAATCCTACATTAAGGTTCAATGCTCTCATTTTAGGAACAATATGCCACTTATCAAAAAGAAATGAAGAGTTGTTGATTCCAGTCAACTATGTGCTAACAACTCAGCTAAGAGGGGACCATCACAACTTGAGAGCAAACGCTAAGTTACTTCCAATATACTAATAGATTTGATCAAAGTAATAAGGAATAAAATTAGACACTCCCTCTCTATTAGTTTCAGTAGGTTGAATAAATAATCGACCGACCTACTTCAGTAAATCAATTGATTATTACTCGTTTTAAGATAGAATTAGGTTGCGATAGCTTCAAAAACCATATACGTAAAGATCCAATACCCACCACTCTCCGTTGTACGATAAAAAATTTATCCCATTTATCTTCAATCTCAAGAGTTGTATGTTTCAACAAAAAATTCAATTTTTAATTCTCCTTCAGCGCCTCCATATATTAAACTCCATTCTATTCGTCATGGATTGATATCGGAGTTGAAATTTTTACTTGCCCAGTTTAAATCTCCAAGAATAAAATCGTAGTGCCAAGAGACCAACAGATTGATTTTCAAAGGCGACCTTATACTGTGAACTGAAAGAGGCGCAAACTATTGCACGAAGAAGGGATTTTCAGAGGAAGTTAGAAAGAGATAAAGAACAAAGATAAAAAAAGTACAAATTTAAATAAAATTGAAAATGCAAGGACAAAACACATAGTAATAGAATTAGTTTATTTCATGTTGGCTAATTACCAATTCAACTTTAGCGAAAATTAAGGAGAGAGGAGTGATTTTAGAATTGAGAAACTACATGAAACTATGCTATGAAAATTGCAGTACCAAGCACCATAAAAATACATACGGTAGACTTAGTAGACTTGCTAATCATGATGAAATAGTCCTATGATTTTCAGAGTGTCACTCCGTGTATGTTCTGTATTAAAGAAGATACAAAAAATTTGTTTAGTGTAATTGGTTGTGATTGTTGTCTTTGTTTGAATAGACTCGGGTTCAAATCCTGATATTGAGATTTTTTATATGAAATAAATAATTAATTGTACAGACAAAAATGCCCTTCCTACTTTCACTCTCGTTGCAGGAAATTTGAAATAGAGAAAAGTAGACAAAACTCTACTATATATTATTGGAGGATGTCACATGCATCATACCTTTCCAAAATCGAAAGGGATGAAAAAATAATATTAATATAATTAAATTTAAAATAATAATAAAATGAATAATGTAGATAATAATATATTTATAAAATATTAACTATAAATAAATAATAAATAAAAAGAAACAAAATCTTATTTCATTTGATCGGACAAAAAATGCTTTAGAAATTTCAAATTAATAGCAGCAAGAGTGCTAAATTCATAGGGGTAGCACGATCCTAATTCCTGGCTCCTCCAATCACCGTTCTTATTTGAAGTTGAATCTGAAGGTTAAATGTAGTGAAGGGCATTTAGGTATTTCAGGAAATTAAATTAAATTAATTAAAATTATGGAATATCTATATTCTCTCTTCAAAAGACTTGTTACGTGCAAATAACTATCGAAAAAGTACTAACACTTAAATTCATAGCGGTTTTGGTAGGTACTGTATCTATTTTACAATTTCTTATAGTGATTTGATTGGATACTGGTGGTAACTGGTAGTTTAGATAATTTAAAATAATAGTGATAAGGAAGGGGTCCGATAAGGGGACCCTCTTTCTCCATATTTGTTCACCGTTGCACTTGAAGCTTTCTCAAGTATGAATAATGTCGCAGTGTATTCGTCACTCATTCCTTTCCATCTGCATTGCAAGTCAATAAATCTCACTCATATTTGCTTTGTGATAACTCGATATTTGCACATGTTTTCTCATTTATTTCTTGATGGTTTAAGCTTGCATTATCACTTCTTTGGCCTATTTTACGCTAGGTTGTGTTCCTTTGTCACATTTCAGGTCCTAGCAGGTAAAGTGAAGCATATGCGCAAGTTTCAAATCAATCAGAGATTAATTGGCGACTCGAGGGAAGAAACTCGGCATGACCAGAATTGAATAAGAATGGAATTATACCTCATTTTGTGACCAAATCATAAACCTTACATATTGGAATCATATACCATTGCTATTCGTTTTCTCTTTTGTTCAAGTATTTTTGTTGGAACGCTAATACGTAACTAATGGAATGCTTAGAGTATCTTCATTGCCCCATAAAAGGATCTTATCAATCTTGGTAGAAATTATCTTTCCCTCATGTTCGGCTATAGTGGTGGCCCCTGAATCGAGGGCCACTTGGCATTCCATTATCATGTAAATTTTTTATTATGAGGAAGAGAACGAGACTACGAGCGTCTGGGATCAAACGACACCTAATTCGGAATCCGAACGAGGGAGAAACGAAGAATCAAAGACAAGGGACTCGGAAGTGTGAAATCCTCGGTCTAAATCCCCGATAGGGGATTTTGAAGTCAGGTAGGGGATTTTGATCAGAAGAAATACCTGGTCAGGAGGTCCAATTACCCGACCGGGGATCCGAAATACCCGACCGGGTAACTTCCAGAAGCGGGTATAAAAGCTTGTTTTGTGCATTTTTGGAGGGGAGAGCTGGGGTTTTGGTTCCCAAACACCCAAGTGACGAACCAAAGAGAGAGAGGGCGATCTAGAGCCATTCTTGGAGCTATTTTGGATGATTCTTCACCATTGAAGCTCAAGGAACAAGTCTAGGCATGAAGATTGAAGATTTGGAAAGTTATACTGCATTCTCTCTCTTCTCTATGGAGTAACTTCCCTTCACTTAGGTTGTGAGGAACCCTGGCATATTTGTTTGATTGGATGATTGTATGAATACTCCTACTTGATAATCTTGAGTTCAGATTCAATCTATGCATGTTTTCATGATTCAATTCTGTTTTAGTCGAGATTATTGATTCTGCTTTCATCCTATGAGGGCGAATACCTGATTAGGTCAATAGAGCACCATATATTGATAGTATTGGATCGATTGCTTTAGTCGAGGGTCGATTCACTGCTTTGTATCGATTGGGAACCTCATTCGATAGAGGGAATCTAGTTCAGAACGCCTTGATCGGTTGTTCTAGAGAA